CATTAAGATAATGATAAAACAGGAATAACAAATACCGTGGCCATTCTTCGACGAGCGTGTAGCCGCCGTAAGTAGTACCAGCCAAAGTTTGTCGCATAAACTGGCAGGGTAGCAAATGTCCTCTATTTTTGTTGCTAGCCGAAAAATATTTAGTTTTTTTTACATCTTGTTGAATAACCTGGAAACGTGGTTTGTCGTCGAAACTGGAATTAAATAATGCAGAGAGAAATTCAAAACAAATATCCCCCTTCTATCACACGCACGCAAATGTTTATGGCACGATTTGATGTCTACGTCGAAATAAATGATTCACAAAATCAGGTATAAATATAATTAAAAATCACAATCTTTTATTTTGGGTAGTAAAAGTTGAAAGAAAACCTTTCATTTCTGATGTTTTAGGGCATGGTTCAGTGGCTTCGCCTTCTGCATGGCAACCAAACCTATTCTTAGGTTCAAATTTTATTACATTACTAGTTCTAAATAAAAAAATTAAAACCACAGACCGTTGTTGTAATGTTTATAATTGTATCTTGATTTAAAAATGTTTTAATAATGTTTGTGATTACAATTTCAACATCACCATTTCAGCCCGTTCGAATCGACTGCTGACTGGAGCCCTATGCTCCACCAGTGGCTGCCACGAAGCTCGAACTTGACCCACCTGTATCCATCGACTTCCCACACATTTGCACAAGTCATAGCAAAATTTATTTATGTTTTATTGTTTGGTTTTTCTTTGGTTATATCACAAACCAAGGAAATTTTCGTCTACACGCCTTTATAGACGCTCTTAAATGGTACTGCTTTTCAATGAGGCATATATTCATTCAGATTACTTTACAATAAATATTACATAAATTTTGAAATACAAATAGCTAAGTTGATTTCTAATCGAATTACCTTCTTTCCTATATATGTCAACATACTTCATTCTTGTCAAAATAATTAAGTGTCTTAGATTTTATTCAAATAAATGAAATGTTGATTTATGTCGTCAATAATTCTTTTATGTGACAGTTTACGAGTTCTAAAGTATCTATTCAACAGTCGTAGACCAGCTGTCTTTATTTCAGTAATTAAATCAATTACTTTCATTTGCCATTAAACTTCAATGGTCGAAATATTTTTGAAACTTACGAACCACTAACGTTTCCCACTTATTTTTAATCGCCGCTAAGGCTCAAGGAATGCGTTACGCAGTTTAATGGCTATTTGGTTAGTGTATTAATGTTGAATATTCTTTAATTAATGGTTATAATACACCGCTGTACAAGAACAGAAATTAATTGCCCCGATAAACAGTCTACTTACATAAAATGCAGGAAACATTAGGACGGCACACTCAATAAAATATTAAGCATGCGAAACTATAGGAAACAATAACTCAATTAAGCAATGTGTTTTAAAAATATATTACAACATATGGCAGTTTTTTGCTATTAGAAGATTGCAACATTTTTTTTTGATAAAGATCACATCTTCGTATTTTAAATTACTTGAACAGCATTAGCATTTTAAAGGACTTCTTTAGTGAGTTTAGAATCGTATACACATCTTTCACTGTGTCGATTTCAGCGAAGGAGAAAGACAAATAAGAATGAAATCTTCTTTAAAAACTTCCTCACATAGCCTTACATAAATTTCAAGTAAGATTGGAAAGATAAGGTTTCATTATATAAGAATTCAAGTGTTTTTATACATTATTTTTTCACATAAAAACACTGTGTTCAGAGCAAATTCATTGATGTCTGATAGGCACGAGGTTCCAGCGACATACGTACTTGTAATAAAAGACCCATCGTGTACATTGCATGAATGTTTCTTTCTTTATATTGTAGTAAAATTTATATTTGATACTTATTAACGTGTGTGAATAGATTCAAGTAGTGGTATTGTTAACATATATACAGTAAGAAATGCAATCGTATAAAAAGCATCCATGATGCTCGTGATTAAAGAACGTTTAAATGGCATTAATATTCATTTGGCACCAGTATCTTGCGTGCTAACCGCTTGTTTCGCTTTTTACTTATAATAGTACTCGGTAATAGGTGCAATCACCTTGCATTGTCTTACTTATGGGATAATGAAAAACTCTACAGATCTTCATGATATTAGAGCATTTCGCAGATACAAAAAACGTATAAAACCCGATGAATTTGTGACGAATTTGTGTCCGGGACTGTAGATAAAGAATTGAGTTTAAAGCTAACAAAATCTTTTCTTTGTCACTAAAAGTATACGTTCTTCTAAACGTTTGAATAAAAGTATATCCCGTTTTATATTTGACGACACGGAAAGCTTATAAAAACGTATAACAATTACAGTATATACTTATTCACACCTGACAAGAACAACTACTTCAAAAGTAGATCGAGTCCGTTTATAGTCTCCATTCTCTTCAAAATCTGAACCAGTCACAATTCGATATTCTCATTTCGTCAAAACTGAGCCCGTTCGACCGCCGCTCAACCCCTTCCTGATAAAACACGCAATAGTTTGTAAAGGCGATTCTAGAAAACGGACGTTTTGCGATTAGATCAGCAGAGTGGGCATTGTATAAGGGGAGCTCGCTGCCGAAGGTGGGGGCACTGTTAATTGCTCCGTTTTGTGAACACGGCCGGTAGCGTGCCCCGCCAGCAATCAGCGGCCGCTGACTGATTACTTTTTAAATAGGTTTTATGCACACTAAAACCTTCAAAAGGAAATCCAAGAAAAGCCCCTCGCGCCTTTCGTGAGTTACGATTGTGTAAATTTGATCGTGGACAATTTGTTTCACGGAATCCGAAAGTGGTGGCCGTGACTGTTCGAAAAGAAATACTCGATTGTTGTTAGAAATAAAACAGCGGTGAGAGTGAGGGAGTAACAGTCACATAATCACGTTCTGTGATTGAATTCGAAATGTAATTTGATGTAAATTATGGTAAATTTTGTTTATTCATCACAAAAAAAATTCCTTGTACTTTAGTTCCCCTGAATATGAAATATGCTCTATGTTGACTTTCCAACCTAGTTAACTAACAGTTTTAAACAAAACAGTTCAATACAATAACGGATTTAACGTTACTTATTGTTATAAACTGGCTTCGCCGATATAATTAACACAATAGTCAAAACCTGCACTACAAGTGAACATTGAGTACTAGCCAATTAGTACAGCCGCCCTATGCTAGAAGCCAAGGATGCTCCATCTGTTAAATGTACTTACAGTCGCCCTTTACAGAACGATGCTCTATCAGTTAAATGTAGGTACTACGAAGAAAGTTTCGCATCCTAAATATGCACGCGTAATTACAGCCGTAATTGCAGCCCGCAATGAGCATGCAAATTGCGATCGCAAATCAATCGTGAGATCGGATTCCCGGTAATAACAGTCCCGTGCCGGCCCGGACAGCGTTCGTAACTTAAACGCGCCGCGAGCCAGCACTGATCGCCAGTAGCGATTGCGCAACTATGTTGCAGTTGTAATGAACAGTAGCCACGGGTTTCGTGTGGCCGGACCAGAGCGCTGCCAGCGAATGGAGATACCACACACAATTTAACACGGCCGCTTCACCGGCGTGGCGTGACTCGGCGGAGTTAGTCGCCGGCTGTTCCCGCACTTTCAGGTATTTGTTACAGCTGTTAACCGCCCAAACGGACAGCTAATGCGCGTTTTAATACGCTTGTTTAATGATCCTAGAATTAATGGCCTGCGTTTGTTAGCCCGATGCCTATTGGCGCGTCTCGAAACGGACGCATAAAATTTTTTGCGATTCCGATAGACATCCGGGTGGACCAATTCGGTCGGGCGAGGTGTACGTGAAGTGAAACTAAGGTGAATTTTAATTGACAACATTTTAATTACAAAACACCACAAAATCTATGGACACGAAATGCCGCATTTCGGTTTAATTAAGTACATCGCCATATATCTATAATAGCTTTAGGTACACTTTTATATACCGACAAAATTATTTTAGAATTGTGTATTTAATACTAACAATACATATTTCAATAGTATAATATATTTATATTAATGTACACAGTTTTTTTGCACAAACGTATGCCAAATATTTGAATTATTATAAACATGAACTAAGAGAGATGTTTGCTACTTCTTTTTAGTTTCAGGCAGAATCTAATAAGCACATACTGCTCTGTGGAGCATATACTGCTCTGAAGTGAAATGATCTATGAAAATAAAAAAAACGTACGTTACGTATATTGATTGTTTAATTTTTAACAAAAATCACTAAACTAGATTAGATCCAAATCAGATCTTGTGTGTTAATAAATAGTAGAAGAAATATTTATACATATTTACCAGGCCAGGTATGAATACAAGATCGAAAGATGACTTTCAACGTAGTAGAACTAAAAAGAACGGAATAATTTCTTTGTGCTCAAAGCATAGAAATAAATAGTATTTGGCTTAAAATATAGTTATTAATGATTTTGAAAAAAAAAACGATTTCACGTGTTTTTTTCCCCTATGTTAAAAATATTGCGAGACACATCATTCCAACAGGTTATTTCGGTTTATTTATGTGTCGTTTGTTGTTCACTAAATTACAAAGCAAATATCTTCTAATAGTTACACGACATCAATATAATTATTTATATTACACATAACTACTTAAAACGTACTTAAAACGAGTCTCGGCTTATAATATCACATAATTATTATGGAGCAGCGTCCACACTTCACAATCGTCTGCGTGACGTAGGCCGCTCGAGGACCATCTTCCGTCGAATGCGAGAGCGAATTTCGAGATTTCGATGCGAAACATGTGAGTCTATAAACCATAACCAAAACTCATGTGGCAACAGCCTTAAAAAGTCTCCATATTGCTGTTCCTACAAGTCTTTTCACTTCTATATCCACTTATTATTCTCCGGCATCACTATTTTAATACGAAACGTACTTATCCGCGTCGCTGGGACGGGAATTTCTCGGTACACCGATATTTGTTACTTTCGTAATGTCATTATCACTGATCGGATCACTGGTATTAGACGTGTATGGGTTCGTCGTCTTCCTCGTCGTCGGTGCGTCTCTCCACCGAGGGTTCCCTGGGGGAGCGTGGGGGTGGCAAGGGGCTACCGGGGTCCACGTCAGGTGAGGGCGAACGCCTAGCGTGGGCGTAGTAGCCCAGAGCACCCAGTGCTGGCGCCCCCAGGGAGCCGAGGTGTGCTGAAGGACCGGGCAGACCCAGCCCTAAGGGCGGCACACCAGCCAGTGGCGCACCAGGGTATAACCTGTGGGATATTTCCTATTATTATTATTTGAATTTGTTTTTGAGGCAGAATGTACTGCCTCAAAAATGAAAGCTGTCGTGTTTGTGGTCATAAACGCATTATTAATAAAACAATTAGTTTTCTAGTTACACAAAAATGCTACATAATTACATGTTATCCTCCTGTGTCTGTTAAGAAGACTGATAACATATTGATAGAGTTGTCCATTGAATTTTAATTTTAAATTCACGCTATTTTGTACATATTACATAACCCATAAGGACGGGACATTCGAATTGTTTTGCTACTATTTTAGGTCCTCGCTTCGTTAATTGTGGTTAAATCAGACTACATTTTTCATTTATTGAGTTTTTTCCTGTCTACACAGTATCATCTTTCAGTGTCTTGAGTTCTCTTAGGGTATTTGTGCTTAGTATGTAATATTTTAACTTATAGTTTCTCAAGCTTAAGCTAACATCGTAGAATCTACTTCATTAATATTACGATGTTACTTTAATTCAACTTCATCCAGGTTTAATTAATTCAACCATACTTCTATGACGGATGACTTTAAAATGGAACATAGACTGTAATCCATGGCAGTTCAATATATGAGAATTTCAATTCGTTGGAGCTGATTGATCCTAACATTTTCTTTGTATTACAGTTGAACAATTAAGGTACTAGTACTGTAGCAGAGCATTTTTGAAATATCAACAGTTACAAAAGTGTTGGTGGCACTAAGAAAGAACAATAATTTCAAAGATTACGGGTAATTTTGTTAAAGCAAATGGCACCTTTCATGGCGCAGTTTTTTGTTTTGGTTTGTAAGAAATTGCGCTTTTTTAAATTCGTTGCGTATCAATTGTTGAACTTGCTTTGCTACATTTTATTATAGGGACTGTTTGGTATTTTAGAGTAATATTTATTCAGCATTATCCATCGAGCTCATGTCGACATCTGCTTCCTCACGTACCTACTCAACGAAATTTTGTCAATGATATTGTGACTGAAATTCATTCTGAACGGTTTAATGTGACGAAAAAGGTGAGGCTAACGAATAAAAAGCATTCTAATTCTGAGAATTTAACTTTTTAATTTCGTAACCGATATTTAGTGTCATTGGTACGTGCTGCACAGCGATCTGTCTGGTTCAATCGATTTATTCAAATTGTCGCCGAGTTTAACAATGTTTTAGACTTTCTTCAACATCTTGACCGAGGGCACATGGTAAATGTGATCGTGACTGGTCGTTCGTTTTGCGCAAGGTTTTTTTTTTAGATGACACGTAGGCAAACGAACGGACGGTTCACCTGATGTTAAGTGATTACCGCCACCCATGGATCTTTACAACCCTTACAACTTGCAAATGGGTTGCCATCGCTTAACAAAGGCTCCGGTTACCTTATTAACCGGATGAAACACAGAACTATAACAATCCTACTTCATGCCGGTCTTCTGAGGCTCTGGTACAACCCTGTCTGTCTGTCTGAGTCTGAGTCTGAGTCTGCCCATTCGTGCAACAGCAAATATTACTGCGTGACCCTATATGTACCGTACTGAAGAGGGAAACAACTGTTGAAATTAATCACCGGTAAGGCAACGGCTTCTGCAGGGTGTTGGTGGCGGAGGCGGCGGCGGCGGCGGTCGCCGCGGCTTGCCTGTAGTACAAGTCGGCGGCTGCTGGTGCCGGCTGCGCTGGATACGCGGGAACCCCCGCCCAATACCCGCCATACAGGCGCTGGAACGCCGCGTAGTTGCCCGCCTCCGCCAACAGCTCCAGTCCGACGGCGGTCTGACGTTTCCACTTTGTCCTGTCGAACAAACGAAAGTTGGAACCCTCGCTTAATGTCGAAACACTCAATAACTCGCATAGTTCGCTGATTAGTTTTCGAAGACGACATTATTTTGAATGAGGTTATTCTCTAATCTCATGGTCATACTATTTGCACTGAACCTTTACATTAAAGTGCTCAACAATAACTTAACATTAAACGGAATCCCAAACTTGAAAAACCTGAAAACGAAACAATAATCTGGAAGAGTGGCGTACTCAAGCACTTTACTTAGACCTGCTTCAATATTTTCCAATTAATTATTTTTTGTAATTAGTTCAATGAATAGCTTGTTATGGTTTATTGATTAGATTGGTGGATTTTGAAAGTATTTTTGCTGCATTTAAAATGTCTACAGCATCTAAGATGAATTGGTTAAATAGGAACATGGTTAAATTTGGCACTTAAAAAGTTTTGTGAACGATAATTATCATTGAAACTAAACAATCTGGACAGAAGCCGCTTTGGGTGACTGTAGTATCGCGTAAATCATGGCTAAACATGCCAAAATATATGTGCCAATAGGACCATTATCACATACATTCTCATGTGATTTTTGTTTATTTTATCTAAAATATGTATTTCTATTCAAATAGTTTTTAAGATTATACGTATTTGCTACGTATTAGGTAAGTCTGATGCAGCTCAACCAATTGAAAGCCAAGTATTTATGTATAATTTTGATTTTTGGTATGTACTGAAAATCGGTAAATCGTGTCGAGTACACTACCTATTTGGTTTCATGTCTTAGATATAAATATTCTTTTAATTGTTAACAGTGTTTGTTGAAACTAAATAAATATTCATTCAATCATCCATTAATTCAAAGTACATAAAATAATTTCGGTCTTTCAGAGATTGAAGTTGAAAGATTACTACTAATTAATAATAAATAAAAGTCAAATACACTAGTCGCAAAAATAACTGGTGACATAGAAAAAAACAAGCCGTAACTGCCAAAGTTGTTTAAATAATAATAGTAATGCTTATTATAATTCTAAAAAGAAGGTTAATTGGTGCAGCATACAACTTAAAATAAAAAAACAGAATTTTGAAAACTACTGCTATGCAAAATTAGAACATGAATATATTTTTAAGTTTTGTTTTTAACCCAGCTTTTCAACATTTTTTTGGATTCGTCACTCTAATCTGTACTGTTATATGGATTATTACTATGGCAGTTCTTGAATGAAGCAATACTGCTGGGACAATAGGAGTAACTTTATCTATGGTCCAAAGAGTACTCCACTAATTCCGAGAGACCTGTTACAAACAGCACAAATATACGAGATCGATTCATAGTGAGCACTATGCTAAGAAATCGACATTGCACAATTGTTTAAACCCTAAAAAGGCGTTAAAAAATTCACCACACAATGTGAGCTCTGACACGATTCTATGGTGAATTCCTGACAGCCCTAAAAGCTATATATATAGCCCAAAAGATGAAAAAAACATTGGATGGCAGTTTACGGCTTACGCAAAAGAACGCCCAACGGACAGATATTACGTTTTCCGAGGAGTAAACATTTTGTTTATTTACTCGATAGGATACGAAGAATATATAGACCCTCGGGAGAAGGGCATAAACGATCGTGTTTTAAAACATAAATGGTGTGCGCTGGAATCTTGAGAGAGTCGTACGGAGTTAGTAGTGATAAAAGATAGAACAGATAAAAGTCTATGATGGTTCTTAGATACGTACAGGATTTCTTAAATGAACTGAGTGGCTAGCTCGCAACCCAGATTTAAATCCCACAGCACATGTATGAGACGAGCTTGGGAGATATTATGTTAGCCAACGCTTTCCCGCTCCAGCGAGCTTACACGAGTTGCAGAAGGCGTCATTGGGATGATCAGACAAACATAGACAGAAATCGTCCTAAGCATTTGGTTTAAAGCATGCCACATTGTCTTAATGAAGTGGTATTAATAAATCATCTACAGGCATACTACATACAGTTCACAAATCAATTTTAGATGTTTAAGGTACTCTTACAGTTTTTTTAGCGATCTGTTATTTTTGCGGCTCAGTGTCTTTATAATAGGTGTTGATAAAAAAATTATTAACCTATTTGTAACAGACTATATAAATCTTCTTTCACTCAAAAAAAAAAAGGTTTCATGACTAATACTGTTCCGTTAACAAAGAAATAAATTGATACCGTGTACTTCACAAATAGTTTGTACACAAAAACCGCACCGCAATTTGTGATCGCGTCTAAAATACTCTAAACTATCGTTTACGGACCCCAAAATCCATAGATCACTAACCCTGCAGCTTGTGACCCCCAATAGTCATCAAATTTGTCACAGGCCACTCGAGAACACAATAATGATACCGGATTGAAATGAGTAATAAAAAATATATAAATAAAATAATAAATTTGACAAAACGTCTTGGGCACTCGTATGTTCACCGAAGCGTGGTCGAGTGCTTTAATTTGATTTATTTGATTCTCTCCGAAAGGGTGAACCCGTATAAATTACGAGATATTGCTGCGGGGATGTCGTTGATTTTAAAACTGCTCTATTTAATCTTCCACGGAGAGCAATTTAACGATTTCGTTGGCAAAATGCCACCGCTAAGTACATCCTTACGCACCTTCGCTCACAATTTATTTTTCCTGCGTTTATTCTAGCGACTTCAATAACAGTACGTACGTTTAGAAACAATAAGAAGAAAATTATACGTTACTTTCCAAAAAAATATTGTTGTTTTAGGTACTTCTCTAAAGAAAAAATTTTTGAAAGTGCAAAAATTATGGCCACATTAAAATAAAAGAATGAATACGAATTTCGAAATTTAATTTATTTTTTTAACGGCACAGTTTTCATTTAGTTTTAAAGTGGCCTGCTATCGTCATTGAATGAAGGTTTTTATTAATTCGAAGGGAGTCGTTATTACCGAGAGCATTATCATTGCAGTTATTATTGTTATGTCAGAGCCCATTGTCGGTTTGCGTCGCTTCGTGGGGTCGCGGCTGTTAGCAGACGCTTCAGTGGTTACCTCGTTAATTAATTTCTGAAAATGGATCATTTAATTTTATTAAATGTAAATGAGGGGGAGTTCGGTTGTTTTGTTATTCATCCGATGCAAGTTTTATTAAATCTATCATTACTCTCGTACTTAATGTAATTTGTTTCACTCGTGACTCCGAATTTGCTTTTTATTACTTTATGCACAGAGTGTTAATTTTTTATTTGCTGAACAATATAAATTTTATCAAAAAAGTTTATCAAAGTTATTTTTTCTATCGTGTCCTCAAATTAATTAATCTTATATACCTAGATATTTTAAATAAGATATTGTATACATTCAGCTTAAGAGTTAACTTTAAGCTTAAACACTATTAGAGTAGAATCTTTTATTTTAACATCTCCCAGCTCTATAATTGTCAGTAGCTGACAATTGATCGATGAGAAGTGTCTGTACGCATTAATCACGTATTATGACGGGTTATTCCGATGCCCGAACATTCAACAGCGCTTATTTAATTGTCAAGTTCTGAAAGAGAGGCAATCTGCTCAGTGACACTATTCTTTTTATTGCCACCGCGGGGCACGGACAAAAAGCTCACGCGTAGCACTTAAATTTGACCCGCCGTCTCAAGACCTCTCCACAGACACTACGCCCCTCTCGTTCCAACTTCAACGGCGCACCGCGAAAGCTGGTTTCCTCCGTCTCTCTCTCGCATTCCCCGGCGGAGTCTGCGCTCGCCCCGCCCAGCGGTTTAGTGATTTGATGCTGCGTGAACTGATTCAATTGCAGAACGAGACGTTCCCCACGAAAACGAGCCTTAACTGTTCGCATTAGAGACCGGAATGGCCAGATAAAACTTCCCCACTTACGACCTCTCCGAGGGAGGAGGTTGTTTATCTCGATTTGAGTTTTTCGGCTACGTGATGCGAATTCGGCTTGTACAGTCGGCGAACAAAGAGGACGCCGGTAGATTCATCGATCCAAACAGTATGCGCCATAGATGGTGCTTACGGCTTTTCAGTTTTGTTACCGCAGTGATCAGCGTGAGTTTTGGCGTACGTTCATTTATTCACTACTCGAAAAGTTTCTGTTTGTTGAATAGTTTTATGGGCGTCTATTAGTATTGAAGGAGCCATAATTTAAGGCACGTGCTTTACTTATGTATATACATATCTACAAAAACATGATTGATATACTTACGATTTCGCCTGAATAGAAAAAATACAGTACTATGCCATTCCAAGTTTAGTTCCAGGTGTATAATAAAATCTCACAGTCGATATTAAGTCTGCCACTTGATGAATTTAAACGAAAAGTTAAAAGTAAACTTATGGCTAAAACATATTATACTATTGCTGAATATCTCGGCGACGCCAATGTGTGGGGTTAATATTGTTGATACTCACGTAGGCTAAAACAAGACTATTATACCTGTAAGATTATATTGTAAACTGACCTTTTAAAAAAAGGGTAACTGTTGAGTTTCTTGCTGGTTTCTTCTCAACAGAAACTGCTTTCCGAACCGGTGGTAACTTACGAACATATTAATTTCCTTGTAAAATTTCGACGTTTCATAAGAACGCGCAAGCGTCTATGTGAATAAATGTCTAATTATTATTATTATTATATTTAATGAGTAGGGCGCCTAAAATCCGTTCACAAACCGAACATTGCCAAACATTAGACTGCGCCGTAATCCTAAGTTGGCCCGGCAAAATTGCAAGCTACAAATTAAGCGGCCCAATAGTCAGCTATTAAATACCGTCCGTAAACTAAAATGGCATTTGCAGTATTATGATTAGTGGGCAAATGATAAGCCAGGCGACCTTAGCGTCCTTGGCTCGAATCCCGTGTCTTTGCGGAGGTGTAATTTGGAAGGGTCCGCTTCGACCGATTAGTTCGTTTCTTGGTAGCAGCTCATTGCGGGGCCTGAGCATTGTGTCATTAGAGCGCGGTCACACTTGGCGAATTCCGAATTCAAAAATCCCAGAATGGA